GAGCACTCCCGTCTACTGGTTAGCTTCTTTTAGAAGTCCCAAGATCCAAATGCAAGCAGTGAGGTGATCATTCCTTCTCTGTAGCTGCTCCCAAATTGTGGAACTCTCTACCATTTCACATGCATTCTACCATAGACTTGGCACATTTTTAAGTCCAAAATAAAGATTTATTTACACTGCCTTTTACTTCCCACTAGTGCCCTGACACTTACTTTTTGAGTTGACTACCTGCTTTCAACTTCAAATTTGTTTATATACTTGTTATTTTATTTTATTTTATTTTATCTACTCTGTTTGTTTTATACTTATTTTATTTTATTCTACAATTTTATATGACTGGTGTAAAGCTTTATGGTTGACTTCCAGTTGTTTTTTAAAGTGCTATATAAATAAAAGTTGATTGATTTGAGCAAAATTACCTCTTCCTTTTTGGTTTTTGCTTGTCTGTCAAAGGGCAACACCTCAAAGCATTCAGTAGGAGCCTGTTTGATAATGCACATATCAAAAGTCATGAACTTAAAACAGGTGAAAGAAATGCATTCACTAACAAGGTATCAAAAATGTTTTTCCTTTCATTGATTGAGTGCAAATACTGTATGCATGCCATAGAATATGTTTATCCAAACATATACTAATTGCAGAATAAAATAACAAGATGTATGAATCAGATAGTGAGTCTGAACCAGAATTTTAGCCAAATAGGACCCACAGTGGCAATTATACGTTTGATTTAACTGTGGCAACTTAACTAATTTTTGTGTAATGCTAAATGTGTTTTAGAGTTGCCAAATGAATTAGATACCTCAAACCTGAAAAAGCAGCATTACCGTGACATTCAGTCCACATGTCGAAGTGTCCTTGGGCAAGACACTGAACCCCCCCACCCCCCACCCCACCCCGTTGCCCCCGATGGTTAGAGCCATCAGTTGAGTTGGCGCTGCAGATGGCTGCCATCGGTTCTGTACCGGAAACAAATTCCTTGTGTGTAACATACTTGGCCAATAAAGGTGATTATCCTTATCCTTATCAACCTTTTTCAGTTCTAGTAGGAAGAGGAACAACCTTAGTTTGTTTCTTCAGACCTGCTCACACCATCTGTCTCATGAAATTTTATGGATTGTTTTCTGAGACAATCAACAGTCACAACAAATAAGTGTAAGCTTACTAATAAGAGCAAAAATCCAACAGCTATCTTGAGTTTAGAGATTACATCATCCCATGCAAATAAGCTTAACTGTTTTCAAGCAAAGACTTAAATGGAAAGACTGACACCACTCGCAGGTGATTAGTTTAGCTTAACACAACGACTGGAAAGGAGAAGGAGCAAAGCTACTGTAACAGGCTTTTGGCTCCAGCTTTATATTTAGCTGGGAGTGATGTCAATCTTTTAGTGTAGCTTTTGGGAAGAAGGCAAATAAATGTATGTTTTAATGTTGAGCTATTCCTTTAACATCCCAAATAAACACTCACACACGGAACATATCTCAAACAGCATTAGTATTATGTCTCTAGACCTTTCTGTGCTGTCATTTTGGACTTTTTATTATGTGTAGGCTTACAACATGAGATAATAAACCAACCACATGATTGCATTCATCAGTGTGACCTGCAGAGTTGACACTTACAGTATATGATGACAGGAAATGCAATGAGCTATCAATCTTCCATGCATATATACCTGTACATGTGCAAATGCACAAACAAAGATGCATATCTGTGACATACAGTACTCAACCAAATGTGGTTTTTATATTGATTTCCTGCTTACTACAGACGATTCTTGACAGAAGGTCCCTAATCAAAAAAACTGCATCAAAATCTTCATATTAGACACAGTGGAATGCAGTGTACATATATATGAAATTTGGTGAGCAGTGATTATTGTATCATAGTGCAGACTGATTTCCTACCTTCCAGGCAGCCATTATTTTCCATTCATTTTAGTAAGTGAGCTTGTCGAGAGCGCACTTTCTTAAGGTAAGAAATCAATCACAGTAAATGGCTTAAATTTGTTTGCACATTATTTAATCTTTCCTTGCTTGCAGATACAGTTTCCTGTTCTTTCCTGGATCCATTCACCTCTGGGCAACTCACACTTATAAAAGGTCATATGTTGCTATACATCTCAAAGAAGCTCTCCATTTGGTCCCAACATTGTTTATTGTGTGCCATAAAACAGACTGGAAAACCACAAAGAGGTGGTAACTTTGATCAAAAAGCTACTACTGCTAGACTGGGATCAAAATGGACATTTTATATAGGAACACGACATCCATCTCAATGAGGAATTATCCTTGTTTTTTGTAACAGTTTATTGTTATCTTTTGATGACCAATATTGTGATTTTTCTTCTTTTTTGATAGATCTATTGTACCTGTGTATGTATATTTCTGTGAGTGCATAGTGGATCTACACCTTGATTGATATTCTGCTCTTCATACAGGCTGTGTAATCAGAGCTTAGTTCCGGTGAAACACCTTGTGTTCTTGGCTTGACACCTTTGTACATATGTGTAACTACTTAAGACTGCTGAATAGTTATTTTATTTAGCCAATAACAATAATAATAATGTTATCCTTTCTTACAGTATCAGTGATATGTTGTGGGTTTGCTTTCTTGACAACTGTGCATATGTGTTAAAGTCAAAGCTAAATAAAAAAAAAATCATCTTCTTCCTTGGTGCAGTGGTGACAGTATGAGATGTTTATCTGTTTAGTCATTACAACATTGAAGATTTGAAGCCAGTTTCATCAAGGGATGAACGGAGGAACAGCAGAGCAGCTAAACTTGGAGATATGTCCTTTTATTTTGAAATTCTCTTCTTGTCTAAATTAAAATAGTGTACCAGGAAAGCTGACAAAGGCAACTAAAAGCATTTGTAATGTGTAAAATACTTGTCTCACAGCTGTAATGGGCTTTTTGTTTATCTGACCTTTACCAACACACAGTATAGCCAATGCATGTTGTGTTTGTTTTCAGAGGGAATATCAAGCCATTGTTGATCCTGACTGGTGTAAAATAGTCTCATTTGTTTATAGCAGGGCCTGAGGGAAAGGGACATGAAGCACTGACAGGCTGTCAGCCTGATCTTCATTATGTGACAAATCCACTTCTCTCCCTGTAGGATAATTATAGGTTGGAACCCAGGATCAGTTTTCATTTGTATTTGACCTGTATAAAAAAAATCAAATCAAACAAAAGTAGACCTGTGCAATAATTTCTATGCCACAGGACAAATGCCTGATGAAACATAAAGGGAATTTTCTTTGAGGAAAAAAAGACACACGCACACATCCAGAAGGCGCATGCCAGAATAAAAGCAGCTCTGCAATTGGCTGAGCGCACCAGGAAGTTCAACTGCACTGCTGCGATCGTCTGACTTTGACGCAGGCGCTCTCCAGCTTCCCGAAAGTCAACAGCAACAGCGGAAAAGCGCAACATGGCTCACAAACTTGGAATTCCCAATGTCTTAGCGATATTCTGGCTGATTTTTCTTTCTCTGATCTCTCCAGCAGAGGCTTACGATGTCGGAGACGGCTTGGCCCTTCTGTTGGGCACCGTAGTGACCGTCGTGGGTTTCTGCGCCTGCCTCGGCTGGTACGCACGGAAGCGTAACGAACAGCTGTGATGAAATAGGCTCCTCGGATCATGTGCTTTCCAGTTACCATCCACCGTATTAATACCTCCCGGTGTGATCTTTTGTAGACTTTCTGACACAAAGATTGTGTCGAGTCGAAGTGACCGGGAAGAAACGTGCCTTATTGGAATAAAAGAGTGAAACTCAACGGGAACCACTTGAACTCTTTTAAAGAAGGTAGAGGGGGACATTCCGGAAGTCCAAAAGCAGGAACTGCTGTTTGTTGCCATGCTCAGATTAAGAACCAAACACTGTTCTTCAAGAAAAGACTGCTGCAGTTATTGCATACTCCCATGGATGACTACATTGTATGTTGCAGATAATCCATGCTTCGAGTGATTACTGTAATTTCCTGGTGTTTCTGTTTGCAGTGTGCAGCACAACATTGTCATTGCTTGAAGCACAATATCACAAGAGTCGAGTGATGTGACTATGTGTTAAGAATAAATGATATATCTGATTTCCTTCCCAACTTCTGGTCATAACTGATTGATATGCCTTATAATCCCATATATACAATAAGTTGGAAATGGGTGGGGATGCATTTATTACCAGTGGACAGGTTGCTGTGTGAGGTGAAAAGGAGCTGACTTTGCATCTCAGCAGCTGCTTTTTAATAATAAAACATCTGCACAGTTCACATTGTTCTCTACTATGAGAAATTGTAGTTGCCAGTAGCAACACATTCTCTACATGTATGATCAAAATTAATATGTTATGTTCCATACCTCAGTGAAGTACAAAGCCACCATACCACTGCTCTATTTTATGTCTGTGTGCAGCATTTAATTGTGTCTGTACGTGGCTGATTGAATCATCGTTCACTTGTTACACTCTTCATGACATTATGGTTTCTCCATTCGTGGTTGAGAGATCAAACGCTATGAATTTATCATGTACAATTTATCGGGCACAATAAACAACAGCCAGTAAAGTGCTTGTCAGTTGTGCATATACAGTACAGGGGAAGTCACTTTATACATAATGGTCGACATATGTGGGTAGTGAAATGTATGACCACAATGAAAGGCAGAATAAACAAGTGCTATAGATTATCACATCTGCAAATTATAAACTACTATTTACAAGGGAGTTAATGTAATAAAAAGATTTAATCAGCCAAGACTGAACCACATTTATGATTTGAATGCTATTTGGTTTAAATACGGGATTTTAAAACTAGAAATAGAACTAAACCAGTCATAAAGTTCTCTTTATCTACACTGTAACCATAGAAAGTAAACCGTTACACAGCATGTTACCACAGAATATAGAGTCCTGTAACGCTAGCTGCTGTACAGATATTCCCGTGAGAGAGACGGAGGCTGCTGCTGCAGCAACAAGAGGCAAGACGCGTCTTGGATCGCAAAAAGGGATGCAGAGCGCATGCGCACTGGACTCCGTTTACTGTAGGATATTCACCGAGGAGGAAAAAGGGGGGCAGGCAACAAACCAGGTTTTTTAAAACAGCATAAACCCGACTTGTGCAATGTAAATAACGTCCAAGAGGGATACGAAATAATATCAACAGGTAGGATTTCGATTGTGATCGGCAATCTGTCTCATTCTCTCTGTCCTTTTTTTTTGGCCCTGTCTTATGTGGTGGCTGCATTTCATTCATCGTGGGGACTTGGAAATTATTCTAGTCTAATGGACGTGCAGATCTGCTACACTGTTGTGCTTTATCAAACCGACTGGGAAACGAGGACGACGATTTGATCCTGCCGTTTTTCTTACTGAAATCTATCGGATTCAAACGCTCGTAAAATACTCGCCCGACAATCGGAGGACGCATTTAAACGCGTAAGTAGACACAAACGGCAACACTAAGGTAATACCGTAGGCTATATGTAATTTAAATGAAAATAGTTATTGAATGCAGCATCCCGTATACTGCTACCAGCAGGATTGGTATTGTCATTTAGACCCATTGTTTTCAATCAATCCTGTCTGATAATCACACCCTCTCAATAGCGAGCTGAATTATGTCGAAATGCGGTTTACAGTGTCAGTATCCCACAGTATATACCTTAACTCTTTGTAATTATTAATATAAAAGGTGATCTGGAAAATTTAGGCTGACTCAGTAAACACCCTCGAACACTGCTGATTAACGTAAAACCCGTAATCCAGTTAACCTCTAATCAGACAAAAACGGGGATGCTTTGTTATGTATGCACCCTCAGTCGATTTTCTACAGTGCATAAAGGCAGGGCGAGTTCATTCGAGGCATCCACCGCTATACAGAGCCTTCCTCTGTTTTGCTGGGTGTAGGGTGTGATCAAGAAGAGCTTATTTTGGACTGCATTTCTCCTAATGATTCACAATGTGCGGAAAATGTCCAAAACTATTTTAGTCTGAGCTCTTGTTTCTTTGGGTAATTCGCTTCATTTCGAGTGGCACTGGAGGAAATGCGTCGTATGTTAATAAAGGCTGGACTGTGCTTTTTGTTATCGAGGTGCTTTTGTTCTGTAAATTCCGAAGCCTCCTGAAAGAAAATCCTATTACAGTAAGGGATTGATGCTTGAATCTAACCGAGCTCCTTCACTGTCTGCCTGTATTTCTGTCTGTAGACAAAGTATCCAGGCTGAGGCGCAGCTCTGCACTCTGCCACTCTAAATATTAAAATGTAAAGCAAATAAAAAATAAATGACAGGCAGAGAAAAATGATTGTTTATCATATTCTAGATTGTGCTAGTGCTGTTGAAACTGTGCAGCTGTTGTAAGAGACTGGATGCTGATGGGTGGATAATATTTTTCAGGGAATTTTTTAGGTGTGATGAGACAAAGGAACAAAGGATGCCTTAGAGGAGAGGTTGCCTATATACTTGGAAACCTCTTCAAAGCACACCGCCAAATGGATCTAACACCTCCCCCTGCTACCTCTAGATCATGATACTTGGCTGAAGCTATTCCCCTATCTTTATGATCCCTCCTCCATCTATGGCGAACTATAGCCATGCAGGGGACCACACCATCTTGCAGAATGTCTCTCCTCTCACTACGTTCCTCAAACTGACCTCTCTGGGTTTCATCATTGGAGTTGGTGTGGTAGGAAACCTCCTGATCTCCATCCTCCTGGTCAAAGACAAGAGTCTGCACCGAGCACCCTACTATTTCCTGCTAGACCTGTGTGCTTCAGATATCCTGCGATCTGCGATCTGCTTCCCCTTTGTCTTCACATCAGTCAAGAATGGATCTGCCTGGACCTATGGCACGCTGACCTGCAAAGTGATAGCCTTCCTGGGTGTGCTCTCCTGTTTCCATACAGCATTCATGTTATTCTGTGTCAGTGTCACCCGCTACCTGGCCATCGCACATCACCGTTTCTACACCAAGAGGCTGACCTTCTGGACCTGTCTGGCTGTCATCTGCATGGTATGGACATTGTCAGTGGCTATGGCATTTCCACCAGTGTTAGACGTAGGGACATACTCTTTTATCCGGGAGGAGGACCAGTGCACATTCCAGCACCGTTCCTTCAGGGCAAATGATTCTCTGGGCTTCATGCTCCTGCTGGCGCTCATTCTCTTGGCTACACAGCTGGTTTACCTCAAGCTCATCTTCTTTGTTCATGACCGCCGAAAGATGAAGCCTGTCCAGTTCGTGCCTGCTGTCAGCCAGAACTGGACCTTCCACGGACCAGGTGCCAGTGGTCAGGCGGCAGCCAACTGGCTGGCAGGATTTGGTCGAGGCCCCACCCCGCCTACTTTGTTAGGCATTCGGCAAAACAGCAATGCAGCGGGTCGCAGGCGTCTATTGGTATTGGATGAATTCAAAACAGAGAAGAGGATTAGTAGGATGTTCTACATCATGACATTTTTCTTCCTGGCGCTGTGGGGGCCCTATCTAGTCGCCTGTTACTGGCGGGTGTTTGCACGGGGCCCAGTAGTCCCTGGGGGCTACCTAACAGCAGCTGTTTGGATGAGCTTTGCCCAGGCTGGGGTCAATCCTTTTATCTGCATCTTCTCCAACAGGGAGCTCCGGCGCTGCTTCAGCACCACACTGCTCTACTGCAGAAAATCCAGGTTACCAAGGGAACCTTACTGCGTTATATGAAGGTTTTGCTGTGGGGTTTTTTTCTCATCTATGTCTCTATTTCCCTGAGTGATCTTGATCTGGGCTTGTTCCCATTGTACAGCACACTCTCTCTTTCTATCTCTCTTCTCTTCATCCTCCAATTATTTTTCTGTTCCTCCTTCTCCTATTGCTTATTTTCAGAGGTAGAAGGTGGACTTCCAATCACGAGGTGATTGAATATAAAACATATGAAACATGGAGGCTGAAGGGAGTGGGAATGCGCAGGAGGTTTGGATCTCCTCCTGTGTTTATGTTCTAGTAAACAGACATTGTGGAAGGCTATGCCAATGCAGAGCGCCTGAAAAAAAAAAAAAAAAAAAGAGGAAAAGAGAAAAAATTTGATAATTCACTGAAAACAAAACCTCCTGCTTTGGATATTTTGAAGATGCGTAATTCTGTGAGGTGTGAAATACATAAATATGAACAGAAAAAGAAAAAAGAACACAAAACAAAGAAATGATACCTCTCAAGGAATCACTGGAAATGTTTTACATTTTAAGAGTTGCACTAAAAAGAAGATGTAAAGATGCTTTTTGGGGTCAACAGTTGCCAGTTGCATTGCAAGGACAATTTTTCTTTTTTTTTCTCAAACTAAACTGAATGCTTTAATTTGCAACAGACTACACAATTGCTGTAAGTAAAGCAAAACTTGGTGACTGTTGGAATATACCATCACCGAAGGATAAAATGATTTTAATGTAAGTGATATTTTTTTCATTTACCGGGCAGGGGGGCTTAATGATGGGGATTTACAATGTGTGGTTTTGAAGTTGCAGCTTAAAACTAGAAATGATTTCTTGTAGTTTTACGACCCATATGTCCTTTGTGTCTGACATTGTTATTTTCTAATCATCTTTTACAATAAAAAAGGAAAAAAAGATGAAATGATGTTTGGATTTTAAAAACATTGCTTTTGAGAACAACCTTGTGCTTAAAAAAAGACAGTGAAGAAGTAATTAAATGTTTCATCATATCCATGTACCTAAACATTATCATGTTGTTACAATATTGCTGATACCACTCCAGGTGTTTCTTGCCTTAATGGTTATAATATTGTCATGTTTCTTGGTTATTTTTGTTGTTGTTGTTTATTTGTTTTTTTTTATTTCACTCCTAAAAAAGTCAATTTTTCGATGCAAAGGGAGATTTCTTTTTCACCTCAACGTGAAGTGCATGTCCATTTATAAAAGCTGGTCTACTCCCACGAGCATCACAGGTCATACATTGAGCAGCCCGTTTTTATTCCTGCAATGGTTTGTTACACCCCACAGAGTGCTCAGAGCACAGGGATGTATGTGTGTGTGTGTGTGTGTGCATGTGTGTCAGTGGGTGCATGTGTGCATTTCAGAGTGTACATGCTGTGTGGATCAAACAACAGTCACTTCAAGACCAGAGCCTTAGTATGAAATATTGCACAATTTGTAAAAAATGTAAAAGGGGAAAAAATCAAGGCACACTGTCTTGTTTCTACTTTCCCAGCATTTGCTCTCTGCTAATTGTTTTCAATGACTTACTTTTTCTCTTGTGGCCATGTTAATATTTATTATGTATTATTTTTTGTATATTATAGATAGATTGTGTGTAAGTATATGAGCCTTTAATTTTGAAGTCCCGAATGTGAGTACAGTTTCAGTTAGGATTGCTGAAAGTTAACTGTGTAATCTGTTGCTTTTTGACAATAAAAAGTTTCCATTTTGGAAAATTTGTTTTTATCCCTCTCATTGGGTGGAGGTCATGCTGAATAGCCATACCGCCAGCTGGAAAACATCAGCAAAATCACTAGTTTGCTGAAATGGTGCTTGGTCAAGTGATGAATTTGCAATTATCTGCATGCCTTTGCAGGTCAAAGATTACTCTTTCATCTATATGTCTTTTTCTTTTACAAAACACTAAAATTAGTCTTTTTGGGTAAAATTATTACTTTATGACTACTCTATTTTTAAAGCAACTACTGTAATTCTAAAATAATGTCCATATTTTTTATTGAAATGAGTAATGGTGGTTTTTATTTCTACAAGGATTATAAATGTGTTATTTATTTTCATGCCAACAGTTTCTTTATAAGAAAAAGTGCTAAAATGTTCAAATGTCTCTCTTTTGGAACACAACCTTTTCTGTCATTTGTGTCCTTGGGACACCTTGTCAAAACTGAGCAAATGCTGAAACTTGTCACTGAATGTGAAGTCTCTTTGACATTTAATGGGAGTACTGTTCATGAATATATTCCTGGGCATACTCACCCTTGCCATTTTTTATTCTGTGTTAAAGAGGAATACCACTGAATTTCAGATGTAATATATCCGACTCCCACGTGGAACAACGGCAGACCACTCTGGAATGAGCCCTGTAGCTACAAATGACATAACAGTTTTTCCCTGATTTTTAATGTCACACCAAAGTTCACCTGTACTGAAGATTAATTGGTAAGTTAGGAAACAATAATGAGAAATATAAACAAATTAAGCTTTTATTTCAAACACATACCTGTTTTGCAAGACCCCCGATGCTAAATGAAATAAAAATGTAAAATATTAAATAAATAGGACCAAATTATACAAAAGGTTTGCGAAGATAAAGAATGAGAATTTAGTGGAATGAGAAAAAAAATCCAATCTATCAGTGGTCCTTTCATTACAGTTTAAAAGCTCGGTTAATAAAGGTCACAAGATAAAGATGGTTCTTAAATTGAGTGGTATTTCTCCATAAAAGATTGTGATTAGAGTATGTTGACAGTGAACTGAATGTAAAGTGAATATCACAAGATTCATAACTGCCAATTTTGTATGATTCAGGCATCATTATTGCTTTTGACAAAAATGTATTTCACTGTCCTATCTTCCCCTAAAATCTATCCAGCTAAGTAATGACCTTAGCATAAATGTTTGAAAACACAAAACACAATGCTGAAATGGCTTGTTAACACTCCAGGTAACTGAATGCTGTGCTGCAGGTTCTGCTGATGAAAAATAGCTTTTAGGAATCCACTTTCATTATGAGGATGGCAATTGTTGATCATTTCAATTTGGCCCCAGGAGGGCCACGTCAGATGTTGTGAAAGCACTTTCTGAAATTTAAGAGAATTGTTAGACATCAGTAAACACTCTGGTCTAGTTTTACATACTGTCCTTTTCTTACTTTTTGTCCATAAAACCAGTACAACCCATGTCAATACTGAGAGTCACATGAATCAGACAGTTTCTGATTAAACAAGATATGTCACTTTGTGGGATTTAATCTTTAAACTGGGGCTGAAACTGTGCTAGTTAAGACTGGAGCAAGAATTAACATCTATATTTCAGCCTCATTCAGCATATGCAAATCACAAACGGTGTAACTTTTGAGCAGTGGCCCATTTTCTTGCATGTTCATTTGAGTGCCCCAGTAATTCTGTTTCTTTCCATGTCTGAGAGAGGATGACAGGCAGAGGTGGTCGGCTTTGAAAGGGTTTCATTCTGGCAGACAAGCTCTCACGTTGAACACCTTCCCCTCCGAGGTACCATCTCTCCTGGGAAACATATTGTTCATAATCAAAGCAATTAGCATGCTGTAGTCTACTGAAGCATGTCACTTAGCATTCTTTGCACTCATATTTAGATCATAGAATGAAGAAAAAAACATCATTTTTTTGTCAGGCAATTACAATGCTTTACTGGAGATAGTTTTTATTTAAGGATCAGAAGACTTTCTATTGGATTTTGGCTGCCAATAAATAATAGCACAGTTCTCCCTCATTCCATGTCACTTGTGTTGTATCTCAGTGGATTTGCACACACAGTTCATGATTCTAACAAACTGCCAATGGGCTCGGAAAAAAAGCATCTCACTCTAGTATACCATCTGTTGTATGAAAAACATTGGCTTTTGTCAAAAAAAGGGAGGGGGTGCTCATCTAATGCGAGCTTTTCTGCACTCTTAAGCATTTTTTGTCTGTATAATGCACAGCACACCTTAATTTAAGCGTAGTAAGGGTCTGTGCTGAGAAGCACACAAATATGGAAAGCTGCTTTGAATGGAATGGAGTGGACAACTTAATCTTTTCACAAGCTAATCAAGAGAAAGGAAGAATTGCTTTCTGCCTTGGCACCACCCTGTTTTGCAGTTGTTGTTTTTTTGTTTGTTTTTTTATTGTGTGACCACTTGAGAACAGAGCTAGAAATATAATGGCTCAATATGCTTTGCATAATTTGTCTAGGGCATTCATTATCCTTTCCAAAATGATATTTACTTGCAATGTGTTTGGTGGAGTTTTCCGTAGGATGTGTGCATAAATTATTTTTTGCTATTTTTGTGTACCCGAAAATGTGTGTGTTTGTGTAAAAGTGTGGTTTAGAGACCATATGACAGTGTGGGGAGTTTGCAGCTTTTCATGAGCTTGTGTTTGTCCTCACACACAGGTCAATTCACAATCAGAACAGTCAGTGAAACCACACAGACCTCTTTTCAGCAGCAGAGTGCATGGTTAACAACCAGGAAAGCACAGAGCTGCAGTAGTTTTCTCTCTAATAGCTTTGCAGCTTTATGGCTGATGTGCCACAGCAAATTGTTAATGGTCAAATGAATGATAATATGAGGATCACAAAAAATATGCAACTGTGTGTCTACATGTGTTGGTGTTAACCTAGAATTTCAATGTTACTCTGTGCTTTGCTGCTGTTAGAGTTTTATTCCGCCCTGCTTTTTGTCCATTCATAATCCATTGATTCTACTGTGAATAAATGCCAGTTATTTTCCAGTGCTATTAGATAAAATAACAAGCAGTCAGGCCTGTCACTAAAACATCTGGGACAATGTAACAACATTTTGCAAGCTGGTTCTCTGAAAAGAATTTGTACAGAATTGAAAATATGGTTAGCTACTTTCCAGCTCATGTAAACAAAATCGGAATCCAAATATGGGTAAAAGATCAGGTGCATTATGTTGTCAGACAATATGTACCCAGGATAACGAAGAGATGCTATTAGGTGAAGATGCAGGAGGAAAGAAGGTCCAATAAAACTGAGCCTAATCATGATTTCTATTCTCGGGAGGGGGGACCCTGTGGGAAAAGTGTTGCTGCATTTACTGTCTGACAAGCTATTACTGGCAGTGCAGGCCTCTGAATACCAATGTGGATGAAGATTCCTCTACATAAAATCCCAGTCTTCATGTCTTCATTTCCAACAACCACTCTCTCCCAGCTCCTACAGCCCATCAACTGTCTTATATAAAGAATAGCCCTGCTTTAAATATTAACCGATTAAATTGCAGCTGGAGCTTCAAAGGTTCAGTCCTGCATATTTAACAGTATATTTGCCC